TGAGCTGTGAGCTATACCCAGCCGCTGCTCTGTTTATCAAGAGTCCTGTCCCTCAACTCAGCTGGAAAGAGGGCAGCAACATGTAAGCCTGGCCATGTTACCCTTGGGCTTCCCTGCCAATTCCTGTTCCCTGAGGCCAGTAAAAGGAACACAGTAAGTATCTCAAGAGGCTGTGAATTAGGCATTATCCTTCAGCAATTGTCAGAAGAGTGCAGCAGTTGAAATACTTACTGAGGATACAGCTGTCCCCATCTGTGCCTGCTTTTAAAAAGGTTTTAAAACTAATTTATTTTCCCTGGCTTTTAACAGAAACTTTATCTGATGCTTTTAATATTTAAAGTGACTTTTAGGAATATATTTGTGATGTTGACTTTAATGTTTCATAATGTAAGCTGCTGTGTGCTTGCTTATTTCTATATATCAGCAACTGTTTTAAGAACAAGTGATAATGATATAATTGTCACTCTCACTATTATTTACATTTAATTTCTCTCTAACTTCAATATTAACAGTTCCATATGACCTGTAGCTATGTATGTGTGTGCACACACGTGTGTGTATGCACATACATATATATGCATACATACATTCATACACACCTGACATTCTGAATTACACCTTATGCATATGATAAAGCAGGCTCTAATACATACAGCCCTATGTATTATATTACAAATGTGCTGGCCTTCTAGGTGCCACAGGACTCCTTTACCATTTGTTAATTTTTATTTTATTTTTCTAGCACACCAACAGGACCACCACTTACTGTCATCGTCCCTTGCCATTGGTTGATTGTAAATGGAATGATGTATCTACCGCTGGGAGAATTTTTCTGCAGATCTTTAAACTCAGCCAATTGACATAAGGGGGCAATTAACAGCTGAAGAGGAGTCTATTTCCCCACCCCCACTCCACTTTTTGAGCCAGATAGCACCAAACATTTAAGAAGCCAACTGTTCCTACTTTTATTATTCTGCCAAAATTTCACAACCTGGGACCTGCCTAATGTTTCAGTAACTCCAGCTAGCACAGAGCTGGGCGGAAGTGCTGGGAAATCAAATCATCTGGAAGATCCCACTTTTTGAAATGTTTACGTGCACTGCTGTGATCATAGTTATACATATTATCTATCTTCCAATATATATCGGTAAATAAATGTTCCCCTAAGCTAGAAACAAACAGTAGCTCCTTTAAATAAAGAACGACCCTATCACAAATGTAATTTTGTAAAGAAAATTATTTATATAACGTGGCAGATCCAGGCCAAAATCTGGTTGCCTCTTTTCAACTCAAAAGATGATCATACACCCCATGTCATCTCCCTGGGTCCTCTGTGTGTTTTTAGGGTGGTTAAATCCCAATCTCATCATACTCAGTCTGTTCAAAATTGTAGACTACCAAGTTGCCATTCTTCTGTTGAGATGCTCTACCGTAGTGGAGGCTCTGGGAACATTTGCTCCTTTGTATTAAATATGGGACTAAAAGGCTTCAATCCATTGAAAAAGGACCCAGAGAACTCAAGAAAAATGAGCAGTGATAAATTCCTGGCATCTGCTCCTCCACTAATGAATGTTGGGAAGAAAATGGACACTTTCTGAATAATCGATCAATCAATCTACCTATCTATCTATTTTACTGTACTCAAATATACATGCATCCTGCTAGGCCTATTATCATTGCTTTTCACACATGTAACAGACCATTCCAGAAGAACATTTTGTAAGTTGGCAAGTAAAGAGATACAAAAATTACTTTGTATTAACTGATATATTTAAAAAGTTTTGGACAACTCAGTGAAGAATAAATTAAAATCAGTTCCTCCTGAATCCTCAACCATTTCCCTCTCCCTCCACCTGCCAAATCTATTTCATACAGACCCCAGCATCACTGCCATGTTTTCAGAATGAAAGAAATAATTCTAGAACATGGGTATCTAGAACATGGGTTCACAATGCCTCCTGGTTCTACATTAATGCTATCAAATCCCGAGGGTCTCCTCCCACTGTTTGTAGGCTTTTAAGTGTCACTGAATGTGACACTAAGGCTTAAAGCCCATGTATATACACAGATCTGTGTGCTACTGTAGTGTACACTATGTACACATTATTGCTCACACATCACTATGCTGCTTTCCCCTCCCTTGATAAAACTCCTGCAGACATTTTCATCTGAAACTGACAGGATCATTGTAACTCAATTTTGTCTCCTGTCTAGACAGCGACTGTGCTGATCCTCATTCACCTTTGTATCCCTGTACAAATAGCTAATACAGAGGTGGGAATCTTAAGTCAAGTGCTGAATTCAAACCTCCTAGGATCTCAGAGTGGCTCTCCTGGGTGTCCTGGAGGACACACCTTGTTGCCCATGATATCATTTGGTATAAAATTATTTTCTTCCAGTGTAGTCTCACTACTGAATGACTAAATGTGGTATTTTCCAGGAGGGAAAGAGGACACCCACAACCTAATTGTTGGTCAGCACACTCACTCACTACTCAAAAGTGAAACAAAGTGATAATGTAATCCACAGCTTGAAAAGGATTTTGAAGTGTTTTAAGCAAATATGATTTATAATAACTACTCAGGGATGAAAAGACGCAGAAATATAACCAAAGATAGCACCTAATATACTGTGGTATGTCATTTTAATAAAATCACACAAAAAAATTACAACCAACGCGTAGCATAACATGTAGACTGAAAGTTCAAATTTTGCACTTTCCCTGCCTCCCACGTGGTTTTTTTTAGTTCTTAACTCAAATCTAAGTATGTAAGTCAAGTCAATATTTTCCTATGAGAGTGGTTCTTAAGTCAAAATGTTCTTAACTCAAGCCGTTCTTAAAGTCAAGACCCCACTGTACCTTGTTGCCCATGATACCATTTGGTATAAAATTATTTTCTTCCAGTGTAGTCTCACTACTGAATGACTAAATGTGGTATTTTCCAGGAGGGAAAGAGGACACCCACAACCTAATTGTTGGTCAGCACACTCACTCACTACTCAAAAGTGAAACAAAGTGATAATGTAATCCACAGCTTGAAAAGGATTTTGAAGTGTTTTAAGCAAATATGATTTATAATAACTACTCAGGGATGAAAAGACGCAGAAATATAACCAAGGATAGCACCTAATATACTGTGGTATCCCATTTTAATAAAATCACAAAAAAATTTACAACCAAGGCCTAGCATAACATGTAACACCTGTAGGAATTATCTCAGTGGCAATTATCCTGTCAACACCCATGACTGACCCAACCAAGAAGCCCAGGCATCTCTGAAGAAAGTTATGAAGAGAAAATGCTCTCTCTGGCAGACATGTGGGAAGATTATCTGCTTGCCCAACTACAGATTTTTCCTATAAGTCTTTATTTAAAAAGGGAAGTTAACATTTCTTGTATTCTTCAAACAGACCAAGCATTTTTGAGATCATGTATGTCTTACCTTACTGGTGCAAGGCTCAGTAACCCATCTACTAGTAGAGTAGATTACCATGTATGGATATAAAAGCAGGATAGTTAAGAAAGCTGAGAGGGGGGAGATGGATTCACTAGAAATATGGTGCTGAAGGACAGCTTTGTGGATTCCCTGGACTGCCAGAAAGATGAGCGAGTCCTAGATCAAATCAAGCCTGAAATGTCTCTGAAGGCAAAAATGATGAAACTGAGGCTGTCTTACCTTGGGCAGATCATGAGAAAGCAAGGTTCTCTGGAAAAGACAATAGTGCTGGGAAAAGTTGAAGGCAACAGTGAAAGAGGAAGACCAAATATGAGATGGACTGTCTCCTTTGGCTAAAGGAAGCCAAAGGCTTGAGTTTACAAGAATTGTGCAGGGCAGCTAAGAAAATGACATTTTGGAGATCACTCATTCATAGGACTATCTCTGAAGGCAAAAATGATGAAACTGAGGCTGTCTTACCTTGGGCACATCATAAGAAAGCAAAGTTCTCTGGAAAAGACAATAGTGCTGGGAACAGTTGAAGGCAAAAGAAGACCAAATATGAGATGGACTGTCTCCTTTGGCTAAAGGAAGCCAAAGGCTTGAGTTTACAAGAATTGTGCAGGGCAGCTAAGAGCTTGAGTTTACAAGAGTTGTGCAGGGCAGCTGAGAAAATGACATTTTGGAGATCATTCATTCATAGGACCACCATAAGTTGGAGGCAACTTGGCAGCACAACAACAATAACAACAGTAGGGTAGTAACATATTCCTTTTATAGTTCAGAGGTACCAAGGTGGAAATAGGGTAACAATTATTGAAAGTGAACAACATCTGCTGTTGTATAGGACCACCATAAGTTGGAGGCAACTTGAGAGCACAACAATAGGGTAGTAAAATATTCCTTTTATAGTTCAGAAGTACCAAAGTGGAAATAGGGTAACAGTTATTGAAAGTGAACAAGTTCTGCTGTTGCTGGTAAATAATTTATTCTCATGGCCAGACCTTATTTTGACTTTTAGCTCCAGAACTACTTTTCTATAGGATGTGTCAGCCTCCCAGCATCCCTCACCATTGGCAGTGTGGCCTGAAGAGAGCTGGGATCCAGTCGGTGGAAGGCAATGCATTGCCCACCCCTGCCATGGCTTCCCACAAGACAGATCCCGTGCACTTAATTCTTGTCTAAAAGATGCCTCGGGTACACATGACCAGTTGTTCATATCATTTTAGGCATGGCAACTTGTGAATCAGGATGGTGAGAGACAGGGTGCCTCTCCCAAATTGCAGGTAGGTCATCCCCTCTAAGCTGGTCAGATCCACCTGACAAAGGAAGTGGAGTGCACCTGAGGGTAGAGGGGCTGGGTGTAAAACAGTTGCCATGAAAACAGGACTTAATACAGGCGTATGGGGAGTCAAGTGGGTGGTTGGAGAGAGCGGGATGGAAATAAAGCATCGATAGAAAAAAAAACACAACAACATCAAGGTTACGTTCAGCGTTATGATATTTAATTGTCCTTATGAATTTCAGTCACCTTACACATTTTGCGATTGGTTAAAAAAAAACCCATACCTGAATATCCCTTTTTTTGAAAGGAATCCAGGAATACAGTTGGAACTGGAAGAAAACCCACGTGGATCCATTAATCCCAACATGTATTTTAATTTTAAAAACCAGGCCTTTCTCAACGCCTTATTAATTCTGGCCTTAGTAGTAGTTGACAAGCGCCAGGGTGGGGTGGTGTTTTTTTTCCTCCCCTAGGAAGAGCTGTTCAGAACAGCCTCTGATCCATCACATGTGTCCCCCCCTCAATTCCGACGGCCAGGTCGCCTGTGAGGGGGCTTCTCGGTTACCGGAGGGGGGGCGGCGGCGGAGATGCGCTGGTGACAGGTGTCAAGCGGCGGCGCGTGCCCTGCCCCGGGGCGCCTCCATTCATTCGCCCGCGCCCCCTTTGCTCGGCGAGCCTGGGCGGCTGCTTCCGGCCGCTCCCCAGTGAGGCTGCGCGCGGAGGCTGGCTGGCTGGCTGGCTGGCATGCCGAATGGCTGAGGCGCCTGCCCGGCTCATTCTAGCGACGGCAGGCGGGCGGATTCGCGCCGGGGGTAAAAACCGATCCCCTCCTTATTGTCACAGGAGCCTCCAAGCGCCATGGTCTCCTGGATCATCTCCAGGCTAGTGGTGTAAGTACAACAGCACGGGCAGGGTGGGGCGTCTCTCGCTGTGCTTCTCCGAACACCCGGTTTTTCTCCTGCAAGAAAGCAGCTTTCTTGCCTATTGCGATCTATCCGTATCGGCAACGCGCAGCTTCCACCGAAGGCGACCGCTAAGAATAACTGGTCGAGATTAACAGCCGTCTAAATTTAGCCCCGTACAGGCTGCCTGCAGCCGCCGCTGCCTGGTTTTTATTTACACTCGGCCGCAAAAAGCAACGGATTCTTTTTAAATTGGCATTTCTCCCCCCCCCTTTTTTTTTAAATACTGCAAACCGAATAGGCTCTGGGTTGCAAAAGCTGTTATTCCTGCATAAGCGGCACCAGATGGACAGGTGAAGTCAGGAGGGATGCATTTGAAGGGTGCTACAGAAGAGGGTGGCTTTTTGCGGCTTTCCATCTCGAGAATGGGACCGGCTATATAGGGTAGGCAAGGCACGGGGCCAAAATCGAGCATTAGAAAAAAGGGTAAGGAAATCACCGCTTTGTTATTGGCAAATATGTTTCCAACTGAGACTCGCTAGGGGGCGCTGTGTAGTGCCGTCCCGCAGGTGGGGGTGGGTGGGAATTAGGGAAGGGTCTTAATTTTTCTTAATTGCTGTTCACTGTACCTTATGTACAAAGACGAAAGGAGGGCCTCTCTCCTCTTGAGATCATGAACTAAAAGGAGTACACTCGTGGCTTGGGAGGGTCGGAGGATCAGCCGGCTGCTTCCACACGTGTCATGGGGGTGATCCTTGCCTGTCGTGAAGAGCCTAAAACACAGGGTGTGTACAGGAATTCCTTGGGACGTCTCCCTAACCAGGAAACAATGGAACTTCTTTCCACAACCCCACAAGAAGGGGGGATGTGTGAATCAAAATGAGGATATGTATTTTGTGATGGACGTTTTGGGAATGTAGCTTGCCAAGATTAGGAAGATGACAGGAGAAAACTAGATAGGTGTCAAGGTTCCTGGGCCTGACTATTTAAGATTCTGGAGATGGTTTGTTGTGAGAGGCCTAGAACGATCTTTGTTTGGGTTGATTCCACTCTGATGTGCTAAGGTAAGCTGAGTTTGTTCATGGGGCCTCTGTCTCTGCCAGCACATCGAGAGATGAGAAAAGGGTGGGATTGATTTTTAGCTTCTTCTTCCTAGCAGTCCAAAGTGCCTTGACGAAAGATCATACGCTTAAGTGACAAAGCATTTTGAGGGGTGTGGAGCAGATGTGGACAACATGATACAATCCCGATCAACCTGCAGCTGTCACTGACTGAGGCTGAGCTTGGACTGGACTTGAATAAACTGTGTTAAATATTAAATAAGCATTTTTCCAGCAACATGAGTCTCTTGCTGATCTTTTAAACAATGAGATATCACTTGAGGTTTTGTTCCTGTAAAGCTGTGTGTTTCTCTTCATGTGTTCTGGTAATTTACAACATTTGTAGCTGTAGGTCCATGTTTTAAGAAACATGTGTGCTCTTCTCTGTGTTGGTCACAATGTGATAATTTGACTTTTTAACATAAGCTTATTTTAAAAGATCTAACAATATGTTTATTTGTTTGCTTTCATCATGAGAAATCTCTTTGAAAAAAATATTGATTTGGTATGTAGTTCTCAGAAACAAAGGCAACCCAAGGAAATATCGTCATGGATATGAAGTCATATCAATCCAATTTACGATTGGTTGGAGAAAAGAGCCCTATGAATGCATTTGTTTCTTTGTTGTACATGATCCCCAGGCAAAAAAATGTACCCCCTAACTTGTTTGTGCCTAATATACCAGCAGTTTCACCTATGACCAACCATTCTAGATTGTCATTCTGGTTTCTGTCGTTATGTTGATACAATGTTAAATACTTGCTCAGATTATACAAATTGGATTAAGGCTTAAATAAATTGCATGCTTCAGTTGTGGGCAGGAAAATAAGGATCTGATCAAAAGTGACCCACACAACCCAGGGGAGGCTCAGAGTGCCTCCTCACAGCTGCGGCGTTGGCTTCTTGAAATTAATATGTGCTGACTCAGAACATGCCCGTTTGAAAGAAGCATTGAAGGTTTTTAGGGACCGGGAGTGGGTGGGTGGGGTATGGAAAGGCATTGAAGTACAAATACTGTACTAAAAGAACACCTGGCCAACAGCTGGTGGCTTTGAAGCTGGAGCAATATTCTGACAGCAACTGTTGAGCAAAAAGTTACACGGCAAAGGAATCTGTGCTGGTCCCTAAAAAACATTCCAAAATCAACAATCAGGAAATATCTTTATTACACCCTTTGTCGATGCGGGGGGGGGAGGAAGCATCCTCCAAGGAACCGGGGCATGCACATGTTCACCTTGGACCTTGGAGACCTATATTTGCTCCTGCAAATCTCTTTCCCCCCATCCCCATCCCCAGTTTTTTCTTACAAAAGGTTGGAAGGGATGGGAGTATGGAAAAGCATTGATGTGCAAATACTTTAAAAATTGTTTTAAGTGGGGGGGGGAACCCATTGTACCCTTTAAATTAGGGGTATAGACACCTCAGGGTTTCTGGGATCCAGTGCCCCCACTCCCCCCTAAGAGGGCACAAGATGATGTACACTTCCTGAGCCAATTTCTTTTTCAGTTTTTTAATGTGACGGAGCTGGGGGAGCACATTTGGACTCCGGGTGTGTGTGGCTGTTGCACTAAGCATGGTTAGTCAGCAGGTGTGCAGCCTTTTAAGCACGATAAATGGAAAAAGCAAGAACACATAAGGACATGAACAGAACTACTAAACCGAAGCTTATTAGGGGTGATGCCCATTAGAAAAGAACTGTTTGGAGGTACAAAGTATAATGGCTGGAAATGAAGGAAAACAATGATTGCCATTCCATTTATTGATCACTATGAATCTTCATCCACTTTTAAATTACCTAAAGCTGTCCAGTCCTTTCATAGGTCCCTAAAAAACATCTTGGGACAAAGGCAATGCATTTCCTGGGAAGGGCTACTGCTTCTTAATTGAAGGCTGCCCTGGCTGGAAGAAGGTGTGTAGTTTGTATAATAAGTGCGATAGTGATCCTCCCATACACCCATCCAAACCCTCTAGACTGGTATGGAAATGTGCTGGTTTAATGGATTTTTGTAGTTAATGATGTTCACATAGAAATTCTGTGCCTTAAAATTGCCTTTCTCCTGGCATAATGTAGTTTGCAAAGCTAGCTCTTTGTCCAAGTATCACTGCAGTTTTATTGTTTTATGTATTATGAAGATGCTTCCAGGAAATGTAGGGCAGACTAAGCCTTGTGTAGTTCAGTTGCCTCCTTTCTCTGTATGCTTATTTAATTTTTAATGCATGGCACATGCTTTCAGGCCCATTTTCACCTACAGAGATTTCTATTCGCTCCATGATGTAGTTATACACTTAAGAAAAATATTTGTTGCCAGATGGATAAGAGTAATTTCTGGACTACATGCCTACCTTTTTATTGTTTGTTTGCTAAGACTGTTTGGTGATTTGCCTCTCTAAGTCAAACATTGCTTAAGGGGGCATTATGATGACTCTTTCAGTGAGAGATGGAACTATCTCTTTCCATGTGGCTCTGATGCATGACATATATAGGGTCCCTGAAGGCTTTTCTGGATTGAACTTAGATAGAATAAGCCAGATTCCATCATGTCATATCGCATTTGCCCAGCATATTCCCACATCACATAATATTAAAATCCATGAAGATAATGTCATTCATGACAGTATAATGCCTTGTAACAAGTCTAACATGCCTTGCGAGGGATGGCTTGTGGGTTAAGTGGGGAGGTTACTCTTGCATTTCATCAGGTTGTTCAGTGGATCAGGTCACGCATTATGTCTTACTCGTGAGTATAAATTCTGAAAGAATACAGAGTCCTCAGCCACATGTTTCTGAAGCTTTGGGTGATTTTGGATCTGAGTATTCCAAAATGCTTGAGCTTGGTTCAGAGTGCTGCAGCCAGGGGCAGAACAGAAATGTACTGCCTTTTGTTCCTCTTTGGAATTCCCATTCGCCTCATGAGCTTCTCTGCATCATGTGTCTTATTGTCCATTTCGCTGCTTGCAGCAACAGCCTCTGATGATGGATGAAAGGGCAAGAAGGTGAAAGGAAAGCAGGGAGGGGCTGGGTTTTCTTTTGTATACCCATCCTTTTTTCAGATGCATGAAAACCTGATAAAGATACACATAGGAAAGGCTTGGACCACACACTCTCCCAACCAGAGGGCCAGATTGGGGTGCGGCAGAGGGCAAAGCACCTCCTTGTTTGAGGAGCGTGATCTCACCATGTTGAAATTGCCAGTGGGAAGAATGGACTGTTACAAATAATCTGCCTTCTGGGTAAAGTATCTGAAATGCAGTCCTTGCTTCTTCTCTGGAATCTAGGTCTCTGGAGGGGGCTGAATAATTTGTCTCTGAGAAGCTGTCTCCTTCTGTCTGAAGTAACATATGTGGAGAAAGGCTATAGCTCAGTGAAAAAGGCCAGTATTTGCATGTGTTCCAGTTTCAATCCCTGCCGCCATAGTGATGGGCTGAGGACTATATGAAGCCCTGGTGGATCAATGCAGACCAAGGATGGATATCTAGTTGCCTTGTGGCACAGTGGTTAAACCGCTGTACTGCAGCTAAAACTGTGCTCACGACCTGGGGTTCAAATCCCAGGTAGCCGGCTCAAGGTTGACTCAGCCTTCTATCCTTCCGAGGTCAGTAAAATGAGTACCCAGCACACTGGGGGGGGGGGCAATGTGTAGCCTGCATAATTAAATTGTAAACCACCCAGAGAGTGCTTGAAGCGCTATGGGGCGGTATATAAGCAGCACGCTTTGCTTTGCTTTGCTTTGTATCTCTTTGACTTCAACTTCCATGAGCCCTGGCCAGGCTAGTCAAATGTGAAGGATAATCACCATTCAGTCCAGCATCCTCTCACAACTTCCCCACCCTGGTTTACACTGAATAGCAGTGCCTCTCCAGGATTTCCTCTTCTGTCACCTCAGCCTT